TTTCACATAGTAATAATTATCTATATATTGTCAAAAAAAAATATATATATATATTATGTTACATTCAAGGTTTAAGATGGAATAAAATATTTATCTAAAGTTTTTACAATGATTTGTTTTAGAATTGTTACTACATTTTTAACTTATGAGTATGTAATAACTCACCAGCATGAACACCTTTCTGTTGATGCCAAAATATTTCTAACTTCTCAAGTATATTTAGAGCTTCTCAAATTGAAACTTTTGGTATTTTCGTACTATCATTCTCATGATTATTTCTTTTCTCTTATTGCCTAATTGCAGCAATAATTACTAAAACAATTAATTGAAATCATAATACATATTACTAAAACGTAAATTATAAAATAAAAAATAAAAATAATAATTTTTGTAACTATGCATTTATTAAGTTATAACTTTCTTAAAATAATAAATTAGTTTGATGTGACTATGAAGAGGTTTTTACTAGTTACTTCTATTTATTTATTCACCAAGATGAACCTAAGACTTTGATCCCGTGAAACCTTATTTTACATGAAGGAATAGTTATAATTTTGTGGTGCAAATTCTTGTAGATTTGATTTTATATTTTTGGCCTTTTCCAATTTGTCTGACTTTGTTCTTTTTGTAAGTGGATAATGAAGGTAGGAATTCAGCCACTATATATTTCAAACAATCGGTGGCTGTTAAAAGGGGACCCCAAAACCAATCACAATTCTGTCTTTCTCTTCTCTTTCTCCGTTTGGTATTTTGTCACTACACAACAATGCATTTTCTTGGATTTATTTGGTCTTAGTTTTCATCCATTTTGGATTTTGTCAATGGAAATACATAGGAAAGACCGAGGAAGAGGACATATACAAAAATTGAAAAGCATGTTGGGGATAAGTTAAAATATATATGGGGTAAAACCTTTCTATAGTTATACTAGTAGAATTAAATTAATTTATTACTATAATGAGATTATAACTTAATAGAAGTGTAGTTATAAAAATTACTGTTTTGATTTTTAATTTTATAATTCATTAGACAAGAAAAAAAATGAAATAATCTTGAAAATGTTAGTACAAAAATACAAAAAGTTTTTTATCAAAAAGCTCTAAACATGCTTAAGAACTAAAAATATTTTGACTTTAACAAGAAAAGTGTCCATACTAGTGAGTTATTACGTACCCGTAAGTTAAAAGATATGGTAACAATTTTAAAACATAAATCATTATTCTAAAGAACTTTAGATAAATATTTTATTCATTTTAAATCTTTAATTTGATATATCATTTTTTTTTTTTTGTAATATACGGATAATTATTACTATGTGGAGGCAATTTTTTTTAAAACAGGAATTAGAAAAATTATAACTTATTACAATATGAAATTTATTCTTATTTATAACCATCTCAAATTGGGATTAGAATTTTTTATAACTATATAGATATTATTCCTATATAAAATATCACTGTAGAGAAGTATTTCTGTATATATAAGTTTTATTGATTGTGTTTTTAGAATACTTGATGGGAGATATTTGATTGAAATTTTGTCTTGGATTTTAAAATGGTATTATAAAATTTCCATTTACCCTGTAATGCTATTGTGGATATTAAAATAGTAGGATGTTTGCATCTTAGAATTTTTATTTACCCTTTAATCCCAAATTGAAATTATTATTATTATTCTTGTCTTTATTTTTATATTTTAAATGAATTTTTCTAATAGTAAATGTTAATTTATTGTGGTTGGATAGTGGTCTCAGCAATTAGCTGGCTATATATTAAGACAAATTATCACATGCCATGGAGCTTGAATAGTGACAAATATTTGACATGGAAGAGGATATTTTTCTTTTTTCCATGAAAAAATAATGCTAGAAATATGAGCTCAACCAAAACCCATTTTCTATATTATAGAAATTAATAAAAGGTAACCAAAAAAAAAAAAAAAAATCCTAGACAACCCTAATTAGGTTTATATACATGCACCCGAAAAAGAAAAAAATTAAAAAGAAAGAAAAGAAAATTAGACGTGAAATTACTAACTCTTAAGGAGAATTGTCACCGTACTAAATAACGGTTAATTTTACTGACCGATGAAATATCTTGATGACGAATAATAATATTTTGATAATGTGTAATGATGGATGTTTTTGTTTGTAAAATAGTATTAATAATTTATTGAATTATCAAAACATCTTTATACGTTATCACGACATCATGATTTATACCTTGAAACTTTACCGAATATGATAACAAGTAACGTTACCGTGCCAACAACCCAAAGTTATGGAGATTAATAAGGATTCCAAAGAGGGCCAGAGAAGTCTTTTTCCAATGATGAGAGCATGGAGAAATAATCTGTCACAAAATTTAACAAATAAAACAAGTAAGCTGCCAAGAACCTACAAAGAATATTTGAACCATTGTCACACTTGTAACTTGGGATAGTTATAATAAAAATAAACTCCACATTGTAATAAATTATAATTTTTTTAATTCCCGTCTTAAGAAAGTTGTCTCTACGTAGTAATAATTATTTGTATATTGCCAAAAAAAAAAAAAAAATGTTATATTACATTAAAGGTTTAAGATGAAATAAAATATTTATCTAAAGTTTTTACAATAATTTATGTTTTAGAATTGTTACTACATTTTTAACTTATGGGTATATAATAACATTTTTCTATAGTGATACTTTATATATGAATAATCTCTATATAATTATAAAAAAAAAAAAAAATTAGTTCTAATTTATGATAGTTATAATAAGAATAAACTCCACATTGTAATAAATTATAATTTTTTTAATTCCCGTCTTAAGAAAGTTGTCTCTACATAGTAATAATTATCTGTATATTGCCAAAAAAAAAAAAAAAAATGTTATGTTACATTAAAGATTTAAGATGAAATAAAATATTTATCTAAAATTTTTACAATGATTTATGTTTTAGAATTGTTATTACATTTTTTTAACTTATGAGTATATAATAACTCATCAGCATAAACAACTTTTTGTTGATGCCAAAATATTTCTAGCTTCTCAAGTATATTTAGAGCTTTTTAAATCAAAACTTTTGGTATTTATGTATTATCATCCTCAGGATTATTTCTTTTCTTTTATTGTCTAAATGTAGCAATAACTACTAAAACAATTAAGTAAAATCATAATACATACTACTAAAATATGAATTATAAAATAAGAAATCAAAGCAGTAATTTTTGTAACTACGCATTTATTAAGTTATAACCCTCTTGAAAAAAAAAAAAAAATTAGTTTGATATGAGCATTGAAAGGTTTTTACAGAGAATTAGTTATTTCTATTTATTTATTCACGATGATCAACCTAAGATTTTGATCCCGTGAAACCTTATTTTACATGAAGGAATAGTTATAATTTTTGGCCTTTTCCAATGTGTCTTGACTTTGTTCTTTTGGTAAGTGGATACTGTAGGTGGGAATTTAGCCACTATATGTTTCAATCAATTGGTGGCTGTTAAAAGGGACCCCAAAACCAATCACAATTCTGTGTTTCTCTTCTCTTTCTTCGTTTGGTATTTTGTCACTACACAACAATGCATTTTCTTGGATTTATTTGGTCTTAGTTTTCATCCATTTTGGATTTTGTCAATGGAAATACATAGGAAAGACCGAGGAAGAGGACATATACAAATATTGAAAAGCATGTTTGGATAAGTTAAAATATATATACACTAAAACCTTTATATAGTTATAATAGTATAATCAAATTAATTTATTATTATAAAGAGATTATAATTTAATAGAAGTATAGTTATAAAAATTACTATTTTAATTTCTTATTTTATAATTCATTAAACAAGAAGAAAGATGAAATAATCCTGAGCAAAAAACTCTAAACATGCTTAAGAATTAAAAATATTTTGACTTTGACAAGAAGGTATCTATGCTAGTGAGTTATTATATACTCGTAAGTTAAAAGATATGACAATAATTTTAAAACATAAATCATTATTCCAAAGAACTTTAGATAAATATTTTATTCATCTTAAATCTTTAATTTAATATATCATTTTTTTTTTAAATATACAAATAATTATTACTATGTGAAGGCAACTTTCTTAAAATAGGAATTAGAAAAATTATAATTTATTACAATATGAAGTTTATTCTTATTTATAATTATCTGAAATTGGGATTATAATTTTTTTTATCTATGTAGATGTTATTCCTATATAAAGTATCACTATAGAATTATTGATTGTGTTTTTTGAATTCTTGATGCAAGATATTTGATTGAAATTTTGTCTTGGATTTTAAAATGGTAGTATAACTATATTTTAAAATTTCCATTTACCCTGTAATGCTATTCTGGATATTAAAATAGTAGGATGTTTGCATCTTAGAATTTTGATTTACCCTTTAATCCCAAATTGAAATTATTATTATTATTCTTGTCTTTATTTTTATATTTTAAATGAATTTTTCTAATAGTAAATGTTAATTTATTGTGGTTGGATAGTGGTCTCAGCAATTAGCTGACTATATATTAAGATAAATTATCACATGCCATGGAGCTTGAGTAGTGACAAATATTTGACATAGAAGAGAATATATATTTTTTTTTTCCATGAATGAATAATGCTAGAAATATGAGCTCAACCAAAACCCATTTTCTATATTATATAAATTAATACAAGGTAACCAAAAAAAGAAAAAGAAAAAACCCTAGACAACTCTAATTAGGTTTATATACATGCACCCGAAAAGAAAAAAATTAAAAAGAAAGAAAAGAAAATTAGACTTGAAATTACTAACTCTTAAGGGGAATTGTCACCGTACTGAGCAACGGTTAACTTTACTGATCGATGAAATATCTTGATGACGAATAATAATGTTTTGATAATGTGTATTGACTAATGTTTTTGTTTGTAAAATATTATTGAATTATCAAAACATCTTTATACGTTATCATGACATCATGATTTATACCTTGAAACTTTACCAAATATGATAACAAGTACCGTTACCGTGCCAACAACCCAAAGTTATGGAGATTAATAAGGATTCCAAAGAGGGCCAGAGAAGTCTTTTTCCAATGATGAGAGCATGGAGAAATAATCTGTCACAAAATTGAACAAATAAAACAAGTAAGCAGACAAGAAACTACAAAGCTCAAATCAGAAGAGAATCCTATTATGATGAGATTTGAACTAATCGACTGATCATTTGCAAATTTTCCAGGATGACAAAAATAAAAAATAATACCTGAAGATTTTGTGAGACACTCTAATGAAAATGAAGCCAATGCTTGTTCTTCATGAGCTCTGTGATAGCTTGAGGATTGTAGCAGTTGAGGAGCAAGAATTGAGCATGCCATTGACAGCAAATTTTCATCACCAAGAGAATGGAGAAACCTGCTCAGCCATGCAACTGTGAAGAGGCTTGCTCTTGCTAAACTTGGAATCCCATTGCCTATGCAATTTGAAAGTGCTGAAAACAAACTCTTGTTGCTACTCTTCACCAAGGCAATTGCTGCCACTTTTTGCCAGATTTCTGTTGCCCGTTCCTCTTCATTCTGCTTATTTTATTTTGAGTAAAAAAAAATAAAAATTATATATTTTCTTTCTTAATTTAATTTCTACAGTATGTGATTCTAATTAAGCTTACCAAGGTTTCATCAAAAGCTACTACTCTCTTGCTGTAGAAAGAATCATCTTTCTCATGGAGACCTCCTTGTTTTAAAAGCCAATTTTCTGGTGTTGCCTCAGAAACATAACCTCCCAACATCATGAGTGCTCTTGCTGTTTGTTCCTGAACCTTTTCATCACAAGTTTGGCAATCCATTGCTGCTATAATTGTCTCCATTGCTTCCTCTCTATACATGCTGCACTTCAATGGATCCCCCTGCAACATTACTGCTACTTCATATATTGTCTCAGCAAAATTCTAATCAAATCTATTGTAAACATGTATCATGGGAATGATGAAGTAAATAGAAATGAAATTACCAGAAGATCAAGCTGTAATAAAATTGCTGCAACCAGTGGTCGTTCTTCTGGTGGAGCTCTTTGCAGATAAACTAACAAAATGTGCATAGTGTTGAAGCCACCCCATCCTCCACTTAATCCATCTAAGAATTTCATCATCTGGGTTCTTCTGCAAATGCATTTTTTTTTTTTTTTTTAAATTTACTCTTTTTTTGAGCTTTAAAATGAGCCTGAAATGAATTATTAGGAAGCAACTTTCATACCTTTGTAAAGAGAGTAACTCAGTTAACAAAGCAATTGCACTTCCATCAGAATTCTTCAGGTTCTGATCACCAGCAATGAGCTCAAGAATTGAGGCCTTGTTCAGATTTTCAGCTAAGAAATTTCTGCAATTTTCATCAGCTTTTATGCAACAAATCACAATGGAGACAGCCTTTTTCCTCTCATCAATTTCTCCTTTCTCAATTCTCTCCATTAATAGGCCTAATCCCCCAAGTGAAACAACTTCTCTTACATTCTCCAGATTCTTATCTTCATCGAAACCGTTTAGTAGCTGATCCAGAAAATAAAATGCAGCCACTCGAGCTCTGCAGCACACTGTGAAAAGGGTCTGCAACTGGTCTCCGAACTCCAGCACTCGAAGGACTAATGGCACCCACTCGGTCGATATCATCTGTTTCGCCTTTGGTTCCAACAGGTAAAGCAGTACTGCAGCCTTCAGAAACAGGCTGTTACTTCTCAAAAGTCTAATGAAAATGACAAGCTGTGGATCTGAGTTCAATATTATCTGCCTATTCGCTTCGTTTCGCGCCACGAATTCCGCCAAGATTGACACTGCAAGCTCCAGAATTTCATCATCACTTGAAGCAAACAAAACTTCAAGCATTGCTTCAATTACAGGAGCCTTCAATAGTTCAGCTTCTGCCGCAGGATCACCATGTGAATTCAACCAAGCCCTGGCGACTACCCGGATTGCAACTTCACATTCAGTCAGATTTTCCGATGAACAGATCGCGGTAATCGCGCTGCTAAGTTCACTTGAATAAGTTTGAACATTGGACTCATTCCTGGTTGAGTTCACTAGGAACTCTTTTGGCGTTCCGCGGCATGTCAGGACTCGAAAATAGTCTGATTTTTCTGAATCAATCCATGAATTTGTTCTTGAAACTCTGTCATATTGATATGATCTTCGCCTAGGTCTTGATTCTTTGTTCTGTCACAATGACAACAATCTATACAAATTTAGCACAGGATCTACAAGATAAAGAAAATTATTGAAGTACTGGGAAAGAGACAAGAGTCACCGACATTAACATAATTGAAGTTATTGTAATTTTCTTCCTGGAGATTCCATGCATTGATTGAATGTCTTCTTTGATGATTAAACTCCACTGAAATCTGCTCAGGTGTGGGGCCAAACACAGTTTGATACCTTGAAATCAAAACCAATGGCAGAATCAGCATAAGTACTGTCTAATCTAATAAAACATGTTTATTTAGTAGCTAGCTTACAAATTTTTGTTCGTGGAGGAGGACTGCGAGGCGAGCGAATCCAATGATCGTCTTCTCCTCGACGATGTTCCTCCATAGCTAGGCCTTGAAGGTAGAGGCACAGAAGGGACAGTGGGTGCATTTGCCCCCACTTTAAGCCATTGTTTATAGTAGAGAGCAAATTTAGTGGTCCCCATGTCCATTTGCTCATTATACACCTTGCTTAAACCTTTCATTCTCTTTTCTTTATCACTACAATTCAAGTTTGAGATCAGCTCAAATTCTTTATTGTACCAAACCTGGAGATGAAGAAGATGAGGCAGGAAAACATGCTCCCAAAGATCAGGAAGCAAATGAGTCCTTACAAAAAACGGCGAATCAACGAAAACTTGAAGCAAATGTCTAGCACAAATCCTGTCATTCTTCTCCAACTTGTAGATTATTGCTATGTAGAGTTGAGCAAATGCTGAGAGATGTGAATTGGGAATGCCACAAGTTGAATTTTGTCTAGAATTTTTTGAGTTCAAAGAGGCAACAATACTCAAAAGTTGAATTGAATTCTTCACCAGTTCCATTCTAAGTTCCTTCTTTGTTGCCCCTTCATCTTCAACCAATATTTCAATGCTTTCAATTCCAATTTCCATGTTTGTCAACACCCCTCCATCTTCACAATCTTTCCTTCTTCTCACCAAGACATTGTTGATCTTCTCTTTAACCGATTTTCGGAAACTTTCATCCTTCAAATACCTGCCAATGAATCCACTGAGGATGGACACCACTGCCCTTATTGCAACTTCATCAATCGGTGCAGCCTCCGCTGATCTTTTCATATTGGTGTTATTGTTTCTAGCTGATGAAACTACCGATGACCCCTTAGACTTCTCGGTCTTCGCCTTTGTGTAGTCGAACGTCCTGACGTTGCGGCAGATGTATATAGGGAGAGTGATGGAATCATCAGGTGGTGCAACTCTTTCTTTGAGCTTCATTATAGGCCTTGAATTTTTTGATAATTTTTCTGGTTCAAAGCCTTCTTCAACAAGAAGCTGATGCAGGCTCGATAAAGGCATGGCGTTACGGAAAAACGGAGATGGTTTTGCAGCAATGGAGAGAGGTTGCAGAGGTTCAAGAACATTATTTCTGGAAGAGAAGATAAAGGAGAGAAATGGAAGAGGTGAAGAAAGAAGAGTAAGTAAAGACAAATAAAAGTTTGATAATTTCTTGGTTGTACATTTCCTAGTTTTGTACTTTGTATGAAAGTGGACCGGGCCGCCCGGTAACTAACTACCATTAAAACTTTCTAACTGCATTAAACCGGTTTTGAAATTAAAATAAATTTAACTTTTATACTCCCCAAAAATCGAAGCAATGTATTGTAAGCGTTTAATTCCATGATGAATGAATTAGGTAAGTCACAAATATGATATATAATCATTGCAGATATTTAACCTAAAGATTAAAATTTTTAGGTTATAAAATAAAATTAAAGAGTTCGGTTATAAGGAAAAAAAAAAAAAAAAGCTATTAGAGCAAACACTCCAATTTTGAACTCGAGTTGACAAAGCAAAGTGAGTAAAAGTATTGTAAATTAGGCCATAAACTGGTTAGTAATAATTTCTTTTTTTTTTTTTTTGTTCATTGTGGGGTAAAATGTTATAATAACCTAAAATTAACTTTCAAGAAATACATGTCTTACTGAAAAATAAAGAGTCCTTTGATGTTTAATTAAATAACAATAATTTTTTTGTGTTTATGAAATAACAAACATTGATTTGCTAGTAATGAATTATTAGTGAGTTTTTGAAACATGCATTATTATCAGTAAAAAAATATTTATCTAACTACCGTCATATCGTTTAATTTAACACTTAAAATTTATCAATAATAAATTTTTAAGCTTATTGAAACCTCAGAATTATTGTCTTTAATCCAATTTTTTTTTTTTTTTAAAATGACATATACTTAGAACGCTATAAAACAAAAACCATTATAAATTCCGACGAAGAAAAATAAAAAACTATAAAGGTTGTTAAAGTATATGCCAAAATTTCAAAAATATTCTACTTGATAATTAATAATTAAAAAAAAAAACAGTTTAAATATGATAAGCACACCGACACTAAAACAGGAGTTAATTAGGACAAAATGTCCTTTACATAAATAAATATAATCAGCCACTTAATTATAAGGTTTCAGTTTTCAAGATTTGGCAGTAGTGAGTTGTCTCTAAGTTCCACCAATACTAAACCTTTTTAGGGTAAGGAGAAGTTTTGGTTTTGGTCCAAGTTATATGTTTGTATATGAGTATTAGACAGAAAGTATATATATAGTTATCTCTCTTATGATCGTCTACATTATTACATGGAACTCGTATGATTAACTAACATCAAAAGATAAATGTTCGAACAAAAATTTTTGTATTGAAAATTATGAGAAATTTTGTCTTTAAATGTTTACCCGTGTTTGAAACAAATGGAACGTTAGTGTCTGAGAGTTCTTGATTGTATATACCCTAATATGTCATCTATACATGGAGTTAACAAAATCTACTGTATTTGCATATATTAATTTGAAAACTATGAATTATATTTGATTGAAAAAATGGACATGCCACCCTGATGGCTCGTCGACGGTGGCAATGACAATCCGATGTTGACGGTAATGCCGATATTCAGATTTTTAGCTTAAATTTATTTCTATATGTTATAAATAAAATCTTTATTGTAAAGTTACTTCATGCATTTTTTAAATATTTTCCAAAAAGCATTTATAATTATAAAAACATAAATATAACACTAATTTGAAAATCCAATTTACATATAGATTTTGAAAATCAAAACAAATTTGGAAATATATTTTACCAAAAACACATTTTTCATCTTTTTAAGATAGGATCGGATGAGAGGAGGAGCCGATATTTCTAAACTAATCTAAACAAATATTTCTTGCACTCTACCGAGAATACGTTTGATATTTAGATTAAAATATGATATGATCGATATTAATATTTTTACTAAATTAAAAAATATTATGCACATTAATTTTAATATTCATTGAATTATTCATAAAATGTCAGACAACGTTATCAGCCGTACGATTTAATGGATGATCCTCAAATTTCTAACATCTGGCAGATGATAAATTAGTTGCGTGATGCAAGGGGGCATGGTGTGACAGACTGACAGGATAATGCTACACCTTTTATAGGGAAAAAAGAATAAGCGACTTTTTCCCCACCAAGGTTTGGCGAATCTTTAGTTCCCACCCCTAGTTTCATAAACTACAATTCTCACCCTTAAATTAATGCCATTACTTTTTTTTTTTTCAAGATAACTCTTACATCTCAAATTTCACTTAAATAACCCCAGAGACTCCCGACCAAGTCAAAAATAAGACCTGATTCTGACACCATTGGACCTCCTCCACACCACCAATAGCATTTCCTTGTTCTCCTCACCAAAACTCATAATTTTTCCACCCGATTGCACCTCGACGAGGTGCTTAAATTTGGTTGAAAAGGGGCAAAAAAATACGAAAACCTAAGAGAGAGGCTACAGTGATCGACGGGCAATTGCAGTCGATCATGTTGGGGGTTTTGGTGGGGGAAAGCTGGATATGTTATTGGTGGTCTTAGGGGTAGTTTTTGGTGTCGAGACTTGCCGGAAGTTAGATGAAACGTCGATTAACATTAAAAGTGATGACCGACGATTAGGGGGTTCAATTAGGCAGGGAGGTTAGGGTTTTAATATGGGAGTTGAGAGGATTGTAATGGTAGTATTAAGAGGGGTCGATATGCTGGAAACAAGCCGAAATGGCTTGAAATCGCTAATGGGGATGAATTTTTGAAGTGAAGGGTTATTTAAAAATTTTTTGGTGGAGTGAATTTGAAAAGTGAAGGATTATTTTAAAATTTTTATTTTTGAAATGACCATTTTACCTTGTTTAACTGATAGATTTGATAGATTAAATAGTTATTTGTTAATTTAAGGGTGAGAATTTGTAATTTATGAAACCAGGTGGGACCGTATATCCACGAAACCTTGGGTGGGAATATGTCGTTTACTCGGGAAAAAATACTCACCGTTCGATGGTGATTGGTGATCCATCGTTTTCAAAATTTAATGGGCTCTTTAATCACTTAGTTTTATTATTATATTATAATACTTGATTTTATATATTATGGTAAATTTTAAATACAATAACATACCATTTATCATACTAATATATTATAACATCTATAAATTAATAATTTTGAGACCATGTAAATTCTATTAATTAAAAGAGGTATTAATTAATTGATAAATTAATAAATTATTTATTTTTAGAGTGTATTTATGATTCGACGAACATACATTTAATCAACTAAAAATTCATTATATTTTACCAATTTAATCAATTGAATATGAATTAATCCACTAAATATATATTAAAACATTAATTTAAATTTATTGTATTTATGTATTTAGTTAAATCGTTGCTAATATTACTGAAAATTATGCTATTGACAAAACTGAGAATGATACAATAGCTTTGGAGCCTGTTACGCATAAGGAAGCACCCAAAGCATCAACAACACTTTATAATTTTTTATTGCAATTCGAGGATTCAACCCCAAAACTTTTAGATGTAATGAGAAAAATTAGATATGAGATTTAACAAGATTTAAATTTTAAGAAAAAACAAGTAACAATAAAGTAATATTTTAATAAAATATCATAGTCAATTATGAATTTAATCTACTATCCCAAGTCGGGACCATAAGAAATTATGTAAAGCTTTCCATAAAAGTATTATTTTATTATTGAATAGGACCGCATAGTTATGTAAGGCTTTCCATAAAAGTATTATTTTATTAATTCATCAAAATTATTAATTTAATCTACTATTCCAAGTGGAGACCATAAGAAATTATTATATAATAGAGGTTACTAATTTATCGAGTATTAATTTATAGAGGTTATACTGTAATTGTATCTAATAAATTATGATATTTCCCTTTTTCTTTTATGTATACTAATGTATGACTCTTAAAGTTTAATTAAATAACCAAAAAAAGGTTTAAATTAAAAAAAAAAATTTGTTATTAACAAACTATTAAAACTTCTTTCAATTACTAATATGAAATTTCATGGTAAAATTGTTGTTGTAGATCTTGATAATAACAAACAAACAGAACCCATTTACGAGCCAATTAATTATAAACTGTCACGTCGAGTGTTGTAAAAAACAGATAATGAGATTGAGTCGTAGACCTGTCATTACTTATTGACTTAATTGCTCTTTTGCATTTATTTAAACATCAAAAGCTTAAAGATGATAAAATATTTTTTGTTATTTCTGAAACGTCAACGAGATTATTGTTATTAACTCTTATATTAACTTTACAAGTTCGTGTTATGTATTAATATTATAAACCGATAATCTCTAATTCCACAAACAAAAAAAAAAAAAAAAAAATTAAAAACAAAAATTACCACGTATAGAAATTTTAGACATACTCTCTCCAACGAGAGTTTAGCTCTACATTTGAAATTTTATACAAGAGAGGGAATGAATAACATTTAAAAAGATCCCAAAGAGAGAGACCAAAAAAAAAAAAAAAAAAAAAAAAAAAAAAAAATTGTGAAAGACAGTAATATTGAAGAACGTCTTAATTCTAACGTTGCTGTTCTTGTAATAATACTCTCTCTCTTTTTATTTTTATTTTTTTTCTCCTCCTCACATTTTTTAATGTCATTTCTCTTTCCCTTTTATTGTCTCATTCTTTATTCTGTATCGCTTTATTTAATTACATATTACATTATTCTAAATCTATTTATGTCAGGGTCTTTTGGTACAATTTATAAAAAAGTTATTGGTTGTTTGGATAAGAAATTAATTTACCAAAAAAGGTTTTAATATAATAAAGATATTTTTGATATTTCAACACTTTAAATAAGCTTAAAAAGAGTTTATGAGAGAAGTTCAAAATTTAACGCAATCAAATAGTCTATTTGAGTTTTTCCCATAATTTATTCGAAATCTTATAAGTATTTTTGAAACGCAACCGAACATTTTAAAAAAAATTCAAAAGTGCTTATAGTTTTAAATATGTTCTACTGATGAGTGGATAAATACAAGCAAATAGACTATATTTTAAAATTAGCTTTTAAATCAAATATTTTTATGGGAAATTAAATAAAAATATTAATTAAGTATAAACT